AAATCTGAATTGGGAGTTATGATACCTCCCCCCCCTGCAATAAGTTATAGTTAGCTATTTTGATACAACTCTTCCTCAGTGTCAGAATTGTATACTGAATAACAGGACATTTAAAAACTTACCTTTTTCACTCCAAAATTACCTTGGGGGGAAATCCCCCTAATTATTCAGAAAGACACTTTCCTCATTTGGGGAATTAAAGATTTGCATTTATCTTTATTGATCTCTGCTATGTATATCCATTGCCGTTCACCCCTGATACCAACATACAAACACATATCCCAGTTGCCACAACTGCAACTATGCATCAAACAGCCTGCCAGTTTAGCATACCTTCTGCTTCAGAGGAATTGGACTCTCCAGCTATTTGGTGGTGGCTGAGCATTCAATCAATCATGCTTGGAGAGAGATTTTAGAAAAGCAGACGTTGCTTTCCCATATTCCCATTGCAATGGAAAGGAAAAGCATTATGCATGGGTGTGTGAGTGTATGTACCTTTGTGTAGTTCCTGACCCACCGTTCTGCACGGCATATTACTTTCAAGGCCCAAAAGATTGCTCAGTCAATTGTAACGGCTGGAAACATCTTTAATTAAGAACTTCAACCTTTTGTGAAAAGAAGATGGGAGCTCCACAGCCACTACTATAGGAAATAAAACATAGCCAAGTCACTTAGGACAAACCATCCTTCAAATTCAAACAGGCAAAGTAAACAAACTTTGGTTGGCAAAAAAAAAATCAAGCCAAAGAGAAATATTAGTTGAAGAGAGTGTTACAGACCCTTTGGAAGACATCTAAAAAAACTTTTCAAGAGATTTAAAATGTTTTCTTTTGGCAAAGTGCAGCAGCAGCAGCAAATATTTGCATCCTGTCATTTTCATTATTTACTTCTTGGCAAAGCAGGTGCCAAGGAAGACTATCAATGACCCGCAGCATTGCCTCCTAAACCTGGGTTTGGAGGATAGATTAACCAGCACCAAATGCTCAATATTAATAAGGCAAAAAAGCAGCAGGACACCATTTGTTCTTCTTTAATACGGTAGTAAAATATATGCTACCACATTGTTACACTCTCACTTCACAAACAGTGAGAGAATAGGGTGTTTCTAAAAATTTGCTGGGAAATACCTAGAGTTGCTAGGTTTTGTTAAAAGACTCCTACATTCTAACTACTTGTTAAAAAACCCATATACCATTCAGATTGTATAAAATTCAGAGAAAACTCAGTTTGATTTAGAAAATAATTCGACTGCTCCATCACAGTGATAATCGTGTCTACCCACATCACGTACATATTTAGCAATGTTGTATTTTATCTGGACTGAGCCTTTTTGATTATCATAATATAGAAATACACTCTGGGAGCATTCCAAGCTTTGGGAAATGCAGTTTCCTGTTATAGGCTTGAGCTCTTGCAAAAGATAACCTAGGTAAGATTATCTACAGTTCTTGCAGAAGATAACCTACTGCAAAAAATAATCTAGACAAAAAAGATGCCACTGTACATAGAGTTGAAATGCAGAGATAAGCAAGCAGAAAACTGACATTTTGAGCGTCAAAGGACTAAACTGGAAGTTATTAGGCTATGTATAACAGCTATGTAAAGCACTGTCAAATTATGATATACTGGATGCACATATTGTTCTGACACAAGAATGGCCTCCTTCAGACCTATTTTTTCCTTCCAAATTGTGCTGATGAAATTTGGCCACACAATTTTCATTACTAATGTGGGATGCAAAGTGGTCTCAATGAACCTTAATAACCCACTAAAAAAAGTGAATGCCTATCTGTGCACACTGTGTTCAGCCATTTCATCTACAGCCTTGGAGAGTTAGAACAACTTGTGAACCAGCAGGAAAATTCAGTTACAATTTTTAAGACTTATTTTGTATTTTGACAACAGGCACACCTGTTTTCCATTACTATCAAGAAAATGAATTTCTCCCATCATTTCACTAACTAGAAACTTGGAAGCTTGGTGTATGTATTTTAAAAGGTACCTAAGCATAGCTCATTAAAACATCTGCTACAATGTCTTACCTGTCAATGACTACTTCAGCTTCAACCACAATACACGAGCACACAATAGATACAAACTCAAGGTAAACCATTCCAAACTTGATTGCAGAAAATATGACTTCAGTAACAGAGTTGTTAATGCGTGGAATGCACTACCAGACTCTGTGGTCTCATCCCCAAACCCCCAAAACTTTAACCTAAGACGGTTTACTGTTGACCTCACCCCATTCCTAAGAGGTCTGTAAGGGGTGTGCATAAGAGCACCAGCGTGCCTACCGTCCCTGTCCTAATGTTTCTTTTCATTGTATTCATTTTATGTATTCAATTCATGCTTATACTTATATATATTATCTAATATGTACTGGACAAAATAAATAAATAGATTAAATAAATAAATACTAGCCAACAAATTGCAGTATAAATGGCTGTCTTCAGAAATAATAGCTCTGGTAGCTTCTTTGCTGCTACAGCTTGCTATTTTATCTCTAAACTCTAATGATAAAACTTGCTATTGATTATGCACCACTGTCAACTCCTATCAACCATATAGTTAGTCTCCAGTATGTTCTGCCCCCAATCACCCGGTCCTACAGGTCTTCCAACAGCGCACCCATCACTATTATAGTTGAGTTTATCCATGCTGCTGCTCATTGTCTTCTCCTCTTTCCTTCTTCGCCATTAAAATGGGGGAACCTAACTATCAAGTAATTATTGTCACTTTTTAAAAATGTTTAAAATAAATAATGTACTTTCTTTGTGTTAATCAGCGAGGGATGATTTTGTCAGCTTTAGAAAATTTTACATGGGGGATTCTTGATGCTCTTTGAACTTGCTTGTCTTCTTGCAGTCATTTCACTACCAAAACTAGGTAAAATCATCAGTACACCGACGTCGTTACCTACTTTGGGTAATGAAACATCTGCAAGAAAACAAGCAAGCTCAGAGAACACCAGGGATCCCTCATTTCAACCCTGAGCTACTAATATGCTCCTTTATTAATTTTGTATGAATTAAGGGCTCAGATGGACTTAATTTAAGATTCTGAAGCTGATCCAAAGGTTTCTCCCTTCCCATGGGAAAATCCTTTGCTTACATCAGCCATGGTAGTGCAGTGGTTAAAATGCAGTATTGCAAGCTAACTCTGCCCACAGCCAGGAGTTCAATCCTGACCAGTTCAAGGTTGACTCAGCCTTCCAAGGTTGGGAAAACGAGGGCCCAGATTGTTGGGGACAATGTGCTGACTCTGTAAACCGTTTAGAGATAAAGCACTATGAAGTGGTTACAAGTCTAAGTGCTCTTGCCATGGCTATTTTGATAATGATAAGACTTTAAAGATTAGACATTAGAAGGCACTAGATAGCTACACAGAAAGGAGACCATACAACCCTTTTGTAGCATCAATTGATGCTATTGTAGAGGAACAAGTCCCATTGAATAAAATTGAACAGGTGCAATTAAAAATTACAGTTTACAAGGTTATGGAAGTAATGGATTTACAAATGAAAGTTGAAAATTGAAAAAGAAATAGAAATAAAAATAAAAATCAGATGAGCAATCTGGATTATCTCCTTATACTGAATTTATAGGAGGGATTTGCTGGAGTTGCTGCATTGAAAATGCAAAGGGGCAGATGAAGACAAGAATTTTGTGAGAAAGGTATGGGAAGGCAGGTGTTAAAAACTTCCTTTGAGGATATTAAAGTTTGTTTGCAGAAAGAACACATAATTGGTTTATTTGACTGAAGTTACAGAAACGGCTTGTTTTTGTCAGGATGTTTAAAAGTTTAATATTAGAACTGGATGATGATGATTACTTCTGGCAATGTTCCATTCTTTTTTGAATGAGACCAAACTTTGATTATTTGAAGAGGAAATGGGGGGATTTATTTAAAGGGAAAGGAAGGATTTAGATTAAGTAGAATAGATATAATCTGTAATATCTATGTTGTTATTTCTGATAACCCTTACTGAACTTTTGCTATTTAACACGGAGATATAAGGTTTTGTAGAAATTGGGGTGAGGTTTTATAGAAATTGGGGCAAGATATGGAATGAGGAGATGTTTCTTTATACTTTAAGAGGTAGTGATAAATGGTTAATGTTGATTATTCTTACTGAGATAAAGGAGGTTTCTTTTTTTCCCTATTTTTATTTTTCTGCACATCCCTTTAGAATTTTTAATATATTTAATGTATTTTTTAATTCTGTAGTTTTATAATTTTTTTGTATAAAGTAAAACAAAAAGCTGGGTGACTTTGGACTAGTCCAGTGATGGCTAACCTTTTTGCCATTGCGTGCCAGGAGAGGGGGGATGGGGGAAGTTTGCGCGCGCGTGTGCCCACACCCATAATTCTATGTGCCTCTCTCAGAGTCTCTGGAGGCTGGGGACAGCAAAAAACTTCACTTCCTGTCCCACCAGGAGTTGGGAAATGGGCCCTTTCAGGGCTCCGGAGGGTCTCCGAGGGAGTGGGAAAGGCTGTTTTCACCCTCCACATATGCATAGAGAGGATCTGGAGCCAAGTAAGAAAGAAAAACGGGCCTTCCCCACCCACCCCCAGGCCCTCCGGAGGCAGGAAACAGCCTGTTTCCCTACTTCTGGTGGGCCCAGAAGGCCTGAAAATCAGCTGGCCTGCGCACACATGCGTGCCAGAGCTGGGCTGGCCTGCCCACTGATATGGCTACGTGTGCCACCTATGGCACATATGTCATAGGTTCGCCATCACGGGACTAGTCCCTCTCTATTAGCTCAACCCACTTTACAGGGTTGTTGTAGGGAAAATAGGAAAAAGGTGTATTTAGTATGTTCACCATCTTGAGTTATTTATTAAATAATAATAAATGCAGAATGAAAATAAACTTTAACAAAATTAATACATTAAATAACATAAATAATATAACCCTTAGTAAAATTATTCAGAAAAAAATATATTCATTTCTTTAAAAAATTCTGCCTTTAGCTCATCTGCTTTGGAGGAATCACATTGTATTTGCTTATCCACAAGTTTATAGAGACTGCCTATTTTCACGGAGTATATTTCCAGACAAGTGCTTTTTTTTTTTTTTTTTTGCTTTTTTTTGCCCAGCTTAAAAAGGCCTAGACATCTTTTTGTACCAGCCTTTTGAGACAGGCCAGATCAAGAAAACAGGCACAGCAGGGATTCATAAATGCTTTTCAGCATGGCAAGGAATCTTGAAAGCCTGTCCTAGTTTCTCACTGTTACATCTTATAGTATACAAAATCAAGGTGGGATTGTTTTGAATTTCTTTCTCATTTTTTTCTGCTTTCTCAAAACTGTGTGATCATTTGTTCCTTTAATGGCTTGCTCCTTCCTTCTCTATTCCCAAGGTCAGCTCGACATTCCTATTACAGTTCGTAAATATTTGATGGTTTCTTCCTAGTTCTTCCATCATTTTTTTTTCTTACAACTGTAAATCTGATAAAGAGAAAAAAAAATAGAATGGTTTCTTTTTGCCAGGAGACTTTTCGGGAAGCATTAAAAGATAGAAAGGCTACTCACATTAAATTGGAGGGTTTTATTCAAAGACTAGTGAAATGATTCTGGAGTCTGAAAGAATCGGTTTGAAACTTAGAATGACACATTTTGCTCTTTATACTTCCAAGATTAGGAACCACAATATACTAAAACGTTTCAGCCTTTCTGTATTAAACAAACACATTTTATTTTGATTTCTCTGCTTAGATTGCAAAACATTCTCAATTCTATTTTAAGGGTCACAATTAGCTTGTAATGATACTAGTGTCAGCTATAAGTAGTTCTCCACTTATGAGTGCTCGCTTAGCAACTGTTTGAAGTTATATACTTTCTGAAAAAGGGGACTAACTAAAATTCTGACAGTTGCTCCCCTCCCTCTGGTCACCTGATTGCACTCTGGGTGCTCAGCACTGCAATCATGTACCCGCACTTTACAATGATTTGGCCGAAAACTGGCAGTTACTTCCACTTTTCGACAAAACTGTGCCCATAGCAATCATCACAATGTTTGCCTAACGAACACTGCAAAAAATGTAAAATTGAGTTGGTTACATCAGGGATCCCCAACCCCTGGTCCATGCCCAATGTTGGCAACAGCCTGTTTGGGACTGGGCCACAGAAGTGGTGGGCAAGTGCATATGCAACACTGCATTTGTGAAAGCAACACATGCACACAAAACCATTCCCACCCCCCACCCCCACTGCTGCTTCCCCCTGTCCACCAATCTGGAAAGGTTGGAAACTGCTGGGTTACATGGCCAACCCATTTCATGACCATTATGACTTACAACTCTAATGGGCAGGCTTCCATTATGGTCGTAATTTTTTTTTTTTAATTTGATTTATATGCCGCCCTTCTCCGGAGACTCAGGGCGGCTTACAGTGCGTTAAGCAATAGCCTTCATCCTTTTGTATATTTATACAAAGTCAGCTTATTGCCCCCACAAACTGGGTCCTCAATTCAAGGAGTACCTGCATTGAGTGTAACTCTTCCTCCACATGAATGGGAATGGACTGCACAGTAGAATATCGCCAACATTATTGTGGTTGCACAGTAGTCACAATCATCCTGTTTTTCCAGCAAGCAGGGCCAGTTTAAGAAATTTGGGAGGGCGTAGTAATGGAATACCACATTTGAAACAATCACCTAAACACCCAGTCCCAGATTAATATCAATGGATTCCTACAAAATGAGATATGTATTCAGAATGGAATATCCAGAGAATAATCTAAGATTATCGTGTTTCCCCAAAAAGTGCTTGGCCTTATTGCCATGCATGCAAAAGCCCGACTGCGCTTATTATCAGGAGATGTCTTATTTTGGGGAAAACAGGATATCGAGGAGACTTATCTTGGATATATTACACAATAAAACCCTTCTCAGGAAAATGACCCGCATTGGCCTGGCCTAACACTGAACCACATTGGCAAATGGGTCAAAAACTCCATTATTCCAATCTGCAGTAGCCAGAGGCAGCTGACCTTCCAGGAAATCTCATTGGTTTAAAGTAAATACAAGATGCTCTCTCATGATCAGAATGATAGAGACAGACTGTTGTAGTTTGGCCCATCTTTAACACAAAGCTCACTGCAGCAATAGTATTTCTTTACTATTCCAGGTCCAGTGCACCTATATACATCATGGCCCCACTTACCCCCTAAACCAGACCTGAAGGAAATCATGTATGCTGTTACACTTCTGGCAAATTTAGTTAATTTCCTAAGAAACATCCAGGCTCCATGGTACATAACATAACCATTATTGTGCTAAATCATTGAATATTTCTTACAATGCAATTCTGGAATTAATTAGGAATTTTGCACTTAGAATAATGTTAAGTCGTTCTTAATGTGAACAGCTTGACCATAAATTCCATAATTCCTTTCAATAATACTTTGGAGTGGAGGAAAAACACCCTTCAGCGTGAATGACTTTTTTCTTTTCCAATTCCAGATTTTTATAGTAACAGCAACACCTGCTGGAAAAAGTTGGAAAGATTAAAAAAACAAGGTTGGGGAGGTCCTATTTCTGAAGAAAGATGGTAGAGAGAAACCTTCAAGTACTGTCAAAGAAGGCAAAAGCCACAGCAGAGCAAGAAGCATGCAACAGCTATGATCTTTCTTCTGCTCTCAGCAATCCGGCATCTGCGGAAGTCAATAAGGAGGAAGCGGTGGCCCCCTCCAAAGGCACACTGAAGGAAGGCCCCAGAGAATCTGAAAAAAAACACCACTTCTTCTTGAGCAAAACTATACTCTTCAACCACCACAAAGCAAACACTCAACAGGAATATGGCAGTTGGGTTTCCTGTAACTTGTAAAGGCATCAACCAGTTTTGAAAGAGGGGCCCGAGGAACATCGTCCAGAGATGCTGCTTTTCATTTCTAGGACTTAATGCTAACATGCTGGACCATTTTACTGGATCAGCATTAGCAAGTATGTAAACAACAAAAAGACAGAAAAAAAAACATGCTGTCACTCCCCTTCCTTTGCTTCAGTCTGTGCGAAACAGCCATTGTTGTGGAAGTTTACTACTATAACCAGGCAGCAAACTCCAGGCATCCTTGTGGAATGCATCAGGTAGACTACCACATTTTTAAAAGTCTGTAGAGATTCTCAGTCATCCAGGTCATGGTTGTCCCAAAGGTGCTTTTTCCAGAGGCAACTGGACTGTCTTGTTTTTTTTCTTTCAAGATGAGAAGTGAAACGTCTTCAAAGAAAAAAACAAACTCCAGTTGCCTCCTGAATAAGCACCTTTCAGACACATTTTTTAGTCTCCAGGAAGGGCATCAAGATCTGGCTCTTTACCCAGGCGCTAGGATAGACCGATGGGCATCTGTGGATGGTATGGAAGCATCCTAGGAAGAAGACTAAGACGCAGGGGTTTTGGTTCAGTTGTCCCTACCCAGCGGCTACAAGATGCGGGCTACAAGATCCAGAGGATTTTTAAATGGCACCAAAGATCTCTTTGTTATCAAAGAGATGGTAAAAACCGGATTTTTGCAGGAAACATTATGGTGTCTGCCTCGCTTCCCTAGTGGGACCGTTAGACGAGAGGTGGGAAGCTGATAAAATCGCAAGCACGAAAAAAGCCTCCCCTGTTGTGCATAAGCGCAACAGGCAAAGCGCCCTTCGTCAGGCAAGAAACCTCGATGCCTGCAATGCGCATGCTCAGTCAGAAAAACTCGAAAAGACCCGTAGGTCTGCCGTCGCAACTTCCGTAACGGCGCAGGAAAAACGAAAGGCGGAGTTTGTCCTTCTGCGGGCCCCGTACTACGACAGCAGACATGGCGGAATATTCTTGTGTTAAGAAAACAAAACTGGTTCTTAAAGGGGCGAAATCGAAAAGGTGAGTGTGTTATTCCTCAGGATGGTGGAATGGCGGAAGTGATATAGTGGGTTTCCCTCTTTTTCTCCAGAAAGTGTGGTTGATATCTTCGCCTGGGAGGCGGTTTGTTGTGCTCGCCCTGATATAATGACTAAATGCCTCTGAGCATACACAGATATCCTTCCCTCGCTTTTGAGGAAAAAATCCGTCATGCAGCTGGGATTAAAAGAGGAAATTAATAAATTTTAAAATCTTAAATTTTTAAAAAGTGTATTTTTAAACTATATTTTTTAAACTAAAAATGCAATTAGCGCCGCTTTTAAAAAGGAATTTAATTGTACATTTCGTATCCCTCAATTCAGAGTAATAGATTTGTAGAGCTGCTCATCTCGCACGAGACACGCACAATAAACCACCAGCACTACATATAACCCCAGGCGACAGGTAATAATAATAATAAAAAAATTAAGACACAATTTCTTTCCCGCCCATGACCCTGGGAAAACAACCCACGTCTTCCATGCCTTACAAAATGCATAAGTGGAATAATGATAGAAATCTCTGGATAGCATTTAGTAATACGTTGTATCCTTGCCCTGCTTACTTCTTGAAATAACTTGCTGTTCTTGTAAATACATAAGCATCTTATGTGGTTGTGAAATGGAAATGCTTACAGCATGGAATGTTCTCATACATATGTTCATATACATATTCTAAACCACAAAGAATTACGCTAGATTCTTTATTATTTTTTATTTTTGTGTGTGTGTGTCTTTGAGTCAATTTTTTGATTCCTAAAACTGCCCGTTTTCTGCAGTTTTCTTGTCAAGTTTTTCCAAAAGTGACTGCCTCCTTCCTAGGTCTGAGAGAAAGTGACTATCACCCAGTTGGCTTCTAGCCTAAGGCAGTACTAGAATTTGCAGTCTTCCAGTTTCTAGTTTGGTGCCTTAACCACCAGACTATTACTCCTAAATCAGACTTTAGCTCAAAAGAAAGCACAGTACTGCGTAAATTTTACCATAGCTTAAATTCCTATTACGCCGACTACTTTGTATAACCTCTTGTTAAGTAAACTATAATTAATTACATTGGAATTCTTTTTGCTCCTAATTTGTTTTTGGTTATATTTTGGCAGTATTTATAAAAATTGAATTTGCATTGTTGATAAACCTAAGCAGCTGTCCAGTGCTGTATTTTTAGGACCATAACAGACTTGACTAAGGCTAGGATATAAATACCTCTGTATAATGGATTGTGTTGCTATTTTATGTATAGATTCAAAAGAAGGGTTTATTTCAGGGGAGAGTGAGTTGTAGTTTAAACAAAACACCAATAGAAACCAGGATAGGTTTATAATAGATAGCCTTTCACTTAACATGTGAGATTATGGGGAACCCTGATATTTAAGCAAGAGCAGTTCAGAAAGGATTTGGGAAACCAGATAAGAAATGTAGTTAATTAGTTCTAAATTTCAGCATTTTCTTTGGACATGTCCTTGCTCTTCTGTTGAGTGTTGCTGTCATTTAAGAAAGAAATGTGCAATAGTAAATTGGTTAGAATTATCAATTGCAAATGTCCACTTTTCTTTCAGTAAGAAAAAAAATACAGATAAAAAACGTAAAAGGGAAGAGGATGCAGAAGATAAGCTTGATATAGTTGGTAAGTGATTTTTTTCATGGAAAATAAAAAAAAAGGGAATTCTTAATTAGGGGCCAAAGAAAGATTAATGTTTAAATAAACTTGCAATTCTAGCTGATTGGGACATACCTCCCTGTCTTAAACAATTAATATATCATGTTTTGTGGTTGACTAATAATAGAACATAAGCCTATTATACAACAATATTGATGGTTGGAGTCTGAGCATATGGAATAGTCACAGATTGTGTCTATACTTTGCATATTTTATGATAACTTACTGAATATAACATTCACAGCATTTTATTGTGATTCTCATTACTTCAAGCTGTCTAACTTACGAAGTCAGATATGTAGTCCAAAGCTAGCAATAGTAAATATGATCCTTCATGTTTATTTTTATCAGCTGTTGTGCAAGAGAATTTCTACATCTAAAGCTAGACACTTCATTATTAGATTGCAAAATTACAAACAAGGATAAATACAGGGAAATGTGTTTTGTATCTAGTGGCCTGCCATATATTTGCAGTCTAAATTTGGTATCCCATAAAGAAGTTAATGTGTTTAATGATAATGACAATTTGAAAGGCTGTTGATTAAAAGCTGCGATTGGGCATTAACATTGATCTCTCCTTAAAATAAATTGTTACAAAGAAAAGCTTTTGCTTGATATTTCCAAATCTTTCCTTAAGCAATTATAATCCCTTACATTTTAAGAAGTATGGAGCAGCTCTTTTATTCTGTTGTTTTCTCTTATTTTAGAAGGCTGGTGGACAGTAACTAATTTTGGTGAAATCACAGGAACTGTAGCAATAGAGATGGGTTTTGGGACCTATATCAGTGCTCTTGATAATGGCCTCTTTACTCTTGGAGCTCCACATAAAGGTTGGTATCACATCTATTTATGTCAAGAGTAACCATTCTGTTTTTCCCAGTGATAGCAAATATATGGTAAATTAATCTTACAAACACAGCCAAAGCGGTGTCACGATTTCTACCTACATTTAATTATTGGCCTGCCAGTTGCATCCAAAAAATACAGAACCAAGTACAGATAGACCTTGACATTACCATAATTGAGGCTGGAATTTCCATCACTAAGCAATGAGGTCATAAAGTGCAATGTTATGTGCCACATTGCTTAGCAATGGCAATCCTGGCAGTCCCTGTTGCCATCTTTAACTATTGTATTTTTCGGAGTATAAGACACACTTTTTTCCCCCCTAAAAGAGGGTGAAAATTTGGATGTGTCTTATACACCGAATGTAGCCCTACCCACCAACCTGCTCCCACCCTTCGACCTCCACGCATCCTCTTAAATGGAACTTTTGGAGCCTCCAAAAGCTCCGTTTGAGAGGGTGAAAAAGCAAGTGGGTGAAAAAGCAAAGCGCAGAGGCCAAAATGGCAACTCGGAACAGCTGCTGGCTTGTCGGACCGGTTCCGCACTTCGCCTGCTGTACTCACTGGAGCGCCCTGCAATGTTCAGCTGCATTTTTGAAGCTGCGTATCTGCCCCAACGAGGCCTGTGCGTGCTCACAACCAGCAGACCTGTTCCTAAAATTCACTTCTGGGAACAGCTCATTGGGGGTATTCTGGGAGGCCAATAAACCCACTAATCAGCTGCTTGTGCTGAATCAGGCTAATGTGCTGAAGCTGACTAGGCTGTTTGCTAAGGACACTAGCCAGATGAATACCGATGGATGCTGGTAGGCAGAGGCAGAATTTTTTTTTTCTTATTTTCCTCCCCAAAATCTAAGGTGCGTCTTATATTCCGGAGCATTTTATACTCTGAAAAATACAGTAAATTCCATTAGTCATTAGTCAAAATCCATCCTGATCTAAGCCATTCCTGGCTTGGTTTCTCCTAACCCTGAGCCATTGTTCTGCTAAGGTAAGGAAATGCCTTCCTGTCAACTCCCTGCAACTGCCTATTCACCCAACCCCATCTCTTCTCTTTTGGCCACCTCACATCCTGCCTTATTAGGTAGATGCCAAATTTAATTTTATATTTCTTCTGATGCAAAACCAGTCCTATTTGTTATAAATTATGTTCACTATCTATACCTATCTATATCAGAAAAAAATAAACTTTGATTTTCCTAATGTCCTTAGTGCATTCTCTGAATCTTTTGTATCAGTAATTGTTAAAATAATTCTCCAACTCCCAACAACTATTAAACTATTTAAAGCCAAAGTTGGTGCTCAGTTATATATTTATAAGGAATTTAAAAGCAATTCAGTCACAGTTCTTGAAAATCCTACCACAAGTTCCTTATTCAACTTCCAATTCTCTAACACTACTGGAATTAGATTGCATTTTCCTTGGAGACTGATTAACTTTGCTGTCTTTGGTTCTGGCTGAAGCAAGTCCATTGGGGAACTTCCCTGGTCCATCTCATCTTATTAGGTTCACTTCTACCCAAGAATAGAATAAGAATAAAGAATAATTTTGATTTATATGCCGCCCTTCTCTGGAGACTCAGGGCAGCTTACAGTGCGTTAAGCAATAGCCTTCGTACTTTTGTATATTTATACAAAGTCAGCTTTTTGCCCCCACAAACTGGGTCCTCAATTTACCTACCTTAGAAAGGATGGAAGGCTGAGTCAACCTTGAACCTGGGGAGATTCGAACTAGCAGTAATTGCAGGCAGCTGAATGATAATAACAGGGTATTAGTCTGCTGCGCCACCAGGCTCTTCTTCAACAAATTATTGATAATTTGGCATACCACAGTCTCATTTTGACAGCACTACCTACTTTTGGGACTTAATGAAGCCCTGGCTGAACCAAAGAGAAGATTTGAAAATCTAGAGATCAAAAATGACAGAGCCAATACCATGTGTTACCCCCTTTACAGCACAATTGCTTTTTCTCCCTGGACTGTCCCTTGATATTTCTTTAACCTGTTATGTGATCTACATAGGAGACTATTTATTTTGGCCCAGATTGAGATGTTACTTATTAGGGCAACAATTGGTAGATATATAAGTCTCCCATATGAAAGCCAGACTTGGTTTTTTTGGAGGTAGACTTGTTTCTTTTGGAGGTAGAATTTGTTTGATATGGACTATCATACTGTATAAAATATCATATGTCATATGCCTGTTGAACACTGAATTGTGATCATACTTTATATTTCCAATTGTTA